CTGCCCCGGCTCGTCGCACCCCGTTGCAGGCAGCTGATGTCCTGCTCTGGGGTGCATTTCTGAGGAAACAACGGAGTGCCTTTGGAAACCCAGCAAAAGCTCGGTCCCTGGCACTCCCAGCACCCCGAGGGCTCAGCCGTTTCAGCAGCTCAGTCTTACGGCCTCAGCCCTCAGTTTCCCTGTCTGAGCGCTGAGGGACAGCCTTTAGCTGACGGACACTCTTGGGTGGGGGATGCTCGTTAACACACGAGTCTCAGACCACTCGGGCAAGCTTACTAAGAGGGAGGTAGCTGGGGGGGCTGCATCTGTGGGTGCTGGCGCAGCCCATGGGGCAGCACCCATTGAATCTCACAGGCCAGGCAGCTGTAGATCAGGCTGAATTTCAAGATAACAGATCAAAGGACATCCAAGTGACAAAAGACAGTTTGTTAGTAAAACTGTGATTCGCAGCTGCTCCCTGTCTCTTTTGCCCTTCACACGCCTGGAGCTGCAGAGGTGGGGAGCAGTCGTGGGCCCAACACTGAGAAGCCAGGGTGGCTCTTGGTGGGCAGAGCCCAGAGCTGGTGTTCCCCACCTAAGGAAAGCCCTATGGACTGTAATGTGTCAGAGTATGGGCAAAAGCTCTCATGAAAAATCCTGCAGGTGCCTGTGCCACCAAACTCTGCTACTGTTGCCAGACCCCACTGTCCTTTGTGTGTCTTGGTGCAAGTCTCATGCTTCTCTCCTTGAATTCTTGCCCTGCTTTGTGTGTGTTAGGTGGGGGCTGTCTCTTTATCTTTGAACTGTGCATGTGAAACACGAATGGAAAAACAAAGTTCGGGGAAGACTGATCTTGGGGCTTGCTCAGGAGAGCTCCAGTGAGTTCAGCAGGTCACACCAGCGGGGACCTGGGGTGTGTTGCCCTCACACTGTGACCCTGCTGTGCACCTTGTTGGTGTAGGGAGTCGTAGATCAAGTCAGTTTTCTGGATCTCTTCTTTTGAAAAGTGCTGTGATTTGAACTGTCCAAGACTTTGGTTTGGTGGAAAAGAAAATGCCTGGCAGAGTCAAAGAGCTTGAAATGTTGCAGATTGTTGTGGTGACAATGCATGCTTGCTCTTGGTTTGCACATCATAGCAGCCTAAGAAAGGGGCTAAAGACTGCTGTGTGCAGAGGGACAGTAGCCTGGACCTTCAGAGGGACCAGTTTGGGCGAGAAGGAGCCCACAGAGAGCAGTACTGCAAAACCTAGCTCTGATGATCCCTAAACCGAGCTGCATTGGCTCATGAGACAAGGAGGTGCCCCAGGAGCAGCAGGCTCCTAAAGACAGCGAAGGAGCGTAGCAGGCAGATGGTGCGAGGAGCCCCACGCCCTGTTTCCCTCTGTTGTTGGTAACAGATGCCCTCTGGCTGGGTGGGAGCTGACACATCTTTTGGTTTTGTTTTACAGGGCACCCTCGAAGATCAAATCATTGAGGCGAACCCAGCTATGGAAGCTTTTGGCAATGCCAAAACCATAAGAAATGACAACTCCTCACGTTTTGTAAGTGTCTTAGCAAGACAGAGAGCTAATGTGCCATGTTTATGTAAGCTGAATGCATTGCTTGTGGTATCGTATTTTTATATGGTGTGAGCCAAAGGCACGTAGCAGGAAGCCAGCTCTGCTTCCTAGTGGGATTTGACTGTTAGGACCAAGTTTCTTCTGATTATATCTGTGCAGTAAATGGTGCGCTGGTCAGAAAAAATCACCCTGGTGTCACAGCCTATGGCTGGAGAGAAGTCCATTACAGGACCAAAGCCGAGGGGTAGTAAGCCCAGCCTGCAGTGTTGGAGCTGGGACAGAGAAGCGTGCCCCTTCCAGGGAGCAGCATCCTTTTTGTTAAGCCAGCCGGAGGTGCAGAGCTCGTCAGCCACAGGTGGCTTTGATGCCTGTGCTTGTGCCTTGGAGGGAAAGGACACTCCCTGGTGAGGTTCCCCAACACATCACAGGGCAGGAGGCTGTAGGCAGACTCAGTATCACGCTGCCCTGCAGAAGTGCTTAGCTTTAAGAACAGCCCTGAGGACAGGGATTTATCTGCTGCGAGCAAAGTTTCTGCCTGCCTACTGTTTAAAGCCTTAGATGATGCTGTCTGACCCTGTGCACCTTACAAACCAGAGAGCTTACCACTTACCCCTCACAGAGACCAGTAACTTGCCTGGCATCAGCAGAAGCCTAAAGAGTAGAAAATTACCAGTGTTTTGTAGTTGTCTGAGGTTTCTAGGAGCTGTTCAGAATTGTACCTGTGTAGCCAAGCCCCGTGCTTAGCTTCTTGTGCATGTTTTCAGGGCAAGTTCATCCGGATCCATTTTGGCCCCTCAGGGAAGCTGGCCTCTGCAGACATCGACATCTGTGAGTAAACGAGGACCAGCTGCAGCGGGGAGGGCTTTCATCTCACTGTTTGTGCCGATGCTGGGTTAGCTCCAGCAAAGAACAAGCGCTCCTCTAACCCCTCTGCCCTATTTGCTTCTAGATCTTCTGGAAAAATCAAGAGTGATTTTCCAGCAACCCAAAGAGCGAAGCTACCACATCTACTACCAGATCCTTTCTGGGAAGAAACCAGAGCTGCAAGGTAAGGCAGCCAAAGCTGCAGCATAGCCTTTACAGCATGGTGGCTTGAAAATAGCCACAAAGAGCTTGATTGTCAGCTTTGGGGTCCCCAGGGAATGAGCAAACCCAGCCCACCATGCAGGTACTGCCCTTGAATGCTTTGCTAGCTGTGCAGGATCATAGGATTGTCAGGTAATTCAAGGTGGAAGGGATTTCAAGAGGTGATCTAGTCCAGCCTCCTTTATCTTCACAGACTGAGAAGCCAGACTTAAAGCTCTTTCTGCAACTGTCTAGGAGCAGAGAGGTGGTCACTCAGGGTCTATCTGGAGGGTGGGACCGTGCTTTGCAAAGCTGCCTTACATAGAGTCCTCAGTGTGTGGCAGGTACAGCACTGACCTCAGCATGTTCAGGCTGGATATTTACTCATTTTGGGGTAGGGGGAAGCATTTTGCAGCCTACTCTGAGCTCCTTAAGCCACCCTAGTGAGATGACCTGTTTCAGGTGAGCTTGAAAACAGCTGCACAGCTCACTCACAGCAGCAGCCCTGGTGTAGACACATCCTAGATGTGTTCCCCAGGACAGTCCCAGCTGACCCAAACTTGCACTGGGGCAGTCCTGTGCTCTGAGCAGCCCTGCCCACCAGGTGCCAGGCCATACAGAGTGCAAGGAAACCTTCCCACACTGCAGAAAGATGGCTGGCACTGTCCCCGGGGGTGGCCAGCCTCTTGGCTGCTTGCTCTTGGGCTTGTTGCTGCCTGGAGAACAATACCTTATTAGGCAGGTCTGGAGAGCTGTGCAGAGCAGTAATCTTATCTGGTGGTCACAAGGACATGGATGGCCAGTTCTAAATCAGTCTGCAGCCAAGCCATATCCCAAGATAGCAAGCAGGAGGCACATCACAGAAGAGATGGCCCCATGTGTTGGTCTGCCTGGGCTTGAAAAGGCTGTTCCTCCCACTGGCTGGTGCCCTCTAGTTGAGGCCGGTGCAGCCTTACCTCTTCATCTGCATCCAGGTTGCCCCTCTGCCCCAGGTTTGTCTCTGTCAGACTGGCCTCACCCTCTGCGTGTCTTCCCCCAACAGATATGCTCCTGCTCTCCCTCAACCCCTACGACTACCACTTCTGCTCGCAGGGAGTAACAACTGTGGACAACCTGGATGATGGCGAGGAACTCATGGCGACAGATGTACGTATACTTCCTTCACACCACACAGCCTGAGGTGGGGGCCTGGGGAAGGGCACAACCTCCTTCTGGGCAGACAAGGGGACATGTCCTGGCTTTTTTATGTCCCTCTCTAAATTGGCAGTGACCTCCCTCTGGTTTATTGGCAGTTGCTCTACACATGCTGTGAGCCTACAAGAAAGAGCAGAATGACTGTTCTCAACCAACAGCCTCCTCCAGGCATAGAAGGGGGAGTAATTCCCTGCATTAGGGAGGCTCTGTAGCACATGAGCACTTCCCATGGCTTCCATGAGAAGATGAGACCTCAGCTCAGAAAGCCTCCTGCTTGTGGATGTCAGGCTAGTCCTTTTGCTTTCAAAGAGATCTTGTGGAAACTGGACTCACATTCAAAATCCCACAGACAGGATTGTTTTCCTGGGTGCCCACTGGGTAAAGCAGCCTGCCCAGAGCCCCAGGATAGGGAGAGCGCTTTATGAGATGGCTGGAGGACCAACCCTCACCTCAGAGTGGTGATTTTGTTCTATCTTGCTGCTTTGTCTCTCCTCAGCACGCCATGGACATCTTGGGCTTCAGCAATGATGAGAAATATGGCTCCTATAAAATAGTGGGCGCTATCATGCACTTCGGCAACATGAAGTTCAAGCAAAAGCAGCGAGAAGAACAGGCAGAGGCTGACGGCACTGAAAGTGAGTTTGGCTTCATGCTGCCAGATCTGCCCAGCCCGGGCTGGGCATACAAATTCCTCCAAGGGCAGGTTGTGTTAACTTCCCTGGCCTGGTCTGTGAAGATCAGTGACTGTGATGCAAGCAACCACAGTCTTAGGACCTGTTGTAGGTGCACAATGGGGCTTGTCCTTGAATATCTGGGACAGCCTTTTCTGCAAGGACTAGGTGGCCTCATTTGCATCAGACTTGCCTCAGCAACATCGCAGGCTGTCCTACCCTGGCTGTGCTTCACCTTGTTCAGTCTTCTGCCCTTCATCACCTCTTCTCTTGCACGTCATTAGACAGCCTTCCCGAGCAGGTTGTCCACAGAATATGAGCCAGGCTGTGATCAGGACTGCAAGGACTTGTGCAAGTCACAGCCTCCTGAAGAACGGTTAGAGTAGGATACAGTCACTGTCTAATACTTTTCCTTGTTTGTTGCTTAGGAAAATCCAATGCAAATTATAGAGCTAAGAGAATAGTCAGGCTGCAAAGCAAACCTGAAAGTTCAGAAAAGTCAAGTTCAAGTATTTTCTATTGCTTTTACACTGCTGCCTTATGCCTGGCTCCCAGGCATGATGGAGCAAGCTTGAAGGAGAGGGTGAGTTTGCAGCATGTGGAAGGTTGAGAAGGGGGAGCCCCAGCACTTAACTGGAAGGCTTAAGCAGTAACTATACATCAGCTGAGGCAGGGATCCAGCAGAAATGACTGCCTTGGCATGCTAACATTCATAAAGGGAGAGTTTCCCTGGCCTGGGGAATGTCAACACTGGATTCAGCTGCTATCTGGTAATTAAAGAAGATTTTGATCTAGCAGTGATTCCCCTACAGAGATGATTTTCTAGCTACAATCTGCTATTGGGAGTCTGTGAAAGAGAAGCAAGAAAATAATCTCTTTTCTGGTCAGTTCAAATTCACTGCATGGGAATCCAAGCTTCCACTGGAAAATGCATACAGATCCCCAGATCAAGAAGACTCAAAAACCTGATAGGGACCTCATAAGGTGCAGCAGGTCTGCTATGGCCATATCCTCCAAACAGTAACTTCTCAGGCAGGAGGTCTAGACTTCAAAAGCATCATACAATATCCAAGGTGGGAAATCACAGGAGACACAGGAGGAGAGTCTGGAGCAGGTGGAAAATCTAGTATAGTTAGCATTAATCAGCAGAAGAGCTGGTTACTTTGTTTATTTTCTTTTTTCCCTTCCCAGGGCTTCCTTGCTGGCTCCTCATGCCTTTGTACTGTTTTACAGGTGCTGACAAAGCTGCCTACCTCATGGGAATCAGCTCAGCTGACCTCATCAAGGGGTTGCTCCATCCTCGTGTGAAAGTGGGCAATGAATACGTGACCAAAGGTCAGAATGTAGAACAGGTGAGTGTGCCAGAACACGGGCTCCCTGCTCATGCTGGTACATCACTCCTCTGCAGGCAGGCCCATTGCGTAATGTTCTCTGCACAGGGCGACTGGTACTTCAGTTCATTCTCTTGGGTTTAGGAGGAGACTCCAGAGCAGCGTGGGAAGATGTATCCACGGTTACTGGCTTTCAGCAGCTGGGAAAGCTGGTGGCAGAGCTGGCAGATAACTTTTGTTATCAACCAAGGCTGGAGGTTCAACTGAGTATCTTTGAAATGTGGGTTGGATCACAGCCAGCAGAGGTCCAGTTTCTATGGGTCTGCTTCAGAGACAGTCACACTCCCATGAAGAGTTCAGCTCTGGAAAGTGGAAACCTCTTCTAAATACTCATCTAAACTGCTCTTGTGGGAGACTCAAATACACCAAAAATGTATCTTGTCAGATTTCAGTCACATCAGTTAGGAACCCAAATCTGCCCTGTATAGTGCAAGCCAGTCCTTGAGTGAAATTCAAGAGGACCTTAGGAGCTGGTGTCTTATCCAAAGTGAGCTGTAGGCTCCTGCCATGCGCAAGGCTTCTGAAAAGGTCACTTTAGACTGAATCTGTATCCTAAGACCTTGGAGGCTAAGACCAAGCCAGGGACACAAGAACAAACTTGTGAGCATGTGAAAACTAATCTTGGAGTATATACTGTAATCATGAACTCCCTGGATCTGTCTGTCTGTCCTTTGTGTGCCAAGAGGAGCTCTCTTTGGCCTCTAGCTCCTGCAAAAGCATGGAGAAGAATAAGTGCTCATGACCTGCTCTCTGATTTGCTTTGGCAGGTTGTCTATGCTGTGGGAGCCCTGGCTAAAGCCACCTATGATCGCATGTTCAAGTGGCTGGTGGCTCGGATCAACAAGACCCTAGACACCAAGCTGGCCAGACAGTTCTTCATCGGAGTACTGGACATTGCAGGCTTCGAGATCTTTGATGTGAGTCCTGCAGGCTCCCTGCAGTGGGTTCGGGGGAATGTTGTAGCTAGACAGCCCAGTCCCCTAGTGTCTGACAGCTCTACCTCCTCCAAGAAACTGCTGGCCTTGATAAGAAAAAGAGCTCTTGCCTGAATTAATTTATCTGGAGCAAACGGGCAGCTCACAAAGGACTGTTCTAACATTGCTGTGAGCACAACTCTCATGATTCCTGGCTATGTCCTCTGGTAGCAATCCAGCTGAGCCCAGCAGAGATCACTCTTCACACCCAGAGGAAGCGGAAGAGTGAATTCCTTCATGTCTGGAGCTCTTCCTTCTGACACATGTTTGTTTTGTTCTTGCAGTACAACAGCTTTGAGCAGCTGTGCATCAACTTCACCAATGAGAAACTGCAACAGTTCTTCAACCACCACATGTTTGTCCTGGAGCAAGAAGAATACAAGAAGGAAGGCATCGAATGGGTTTTCATTGACTTTGGCCTGGACCTGCAGGCTTGCATTGATCTGATTGAGAAGGTAGAGCATGAGTCAGGGCACAGGAATGGTAATTCTGGTAGGCAGCTTGTTTGCAAAACCTGCAATGGTGAGGGGTGCTCTGCTACCAGAAATGAAATTATTCCCTCCCCAGTCAGTGGCAAGGGCCCAGCTTTGTCTTCCCCACACTTAGAACTCAAAGACTCCAGCCCATTGAGTCCTTTTTGAAACAAATTTTGACTTTATGAAACCATGGAAATTCTGTTCCTACCCACCAGTGAGCCACAAAACCTGGTGCAGCCTTTTCCTCCAGAGAACAGTGAAATCTGCCCCTTTTATCCTTCCCGCTTTCTGCGCCTCCGTGCCTCTTACTTGTGTACATGCTGATTCAAAGCAGCTTGTATAACAGATTTCCACTGTGGCATGGAGGAAACTCACCTTTTTTTTGGAAAGGAGCAAACCTGTCAGGATACTGGAGAGGATCTCACATTCCCAACAATCTGATCGACCTGAGCAAGCCCCCACGTCTTGCAGGCCTGGCCAGTCCCACTCTGACTGGCTGGAGGTCAGATGCAGCCTGGAACAGACCAGTGTTGGCTTGCCCTGTGGTCAATGTCTTGCACCATTTGCCCAAACGAAGACGAGGTCTCCCAAGTCAAGCCTTGCCTCACCTTGCTCAGTGGCACAGAGAATCCCCCATTCTGGGATGGGACATGGCAACACTGAACTCAGACCTCTTATACCACCTTCTCCCTGCAGCCACTGGGAATCCTGTCCATCCTTGAAGAGGAGTGCATGTTCCCGAAGGCCTCTGACATGTCATTCAAAGCTAAGCTCTACGACAACCACATTGGGAAGTCGCCCAACTTCCAGAAGCCCAGACCGGATAAAAAGCGGAAATACGAGGCTCACTTTGAGCTGGTGCACTATGCTGGTGTGGTACGTCTCTTGTGAGTTCTTCCACAGCATTCACACCTTCCCCCTTGCAGGGTTGTCCTTAACTTTGCCTCTCTCCTCTGGTGATAGGTACCATACAACATCATTGGGTGGCTGGATAAGAACAAGGACCCCCTGAATGAGACAGTGGTGGCTGTCTTCCAAAAATCCCAAAACAAGCTCCTGGCCTCACTCTATGAGAACTACGTGAGCTCTACTTCAGGTGAGGAACAACCTCACCCCTTTTTTGACCTTGGTCTCCCTCCCTCCCTTTGCAGCAAAGCCTCCTCACCCCCACGCTCAGCCGCTGGTGCAGCATTCCTGAACCTAGCC